CCACCGCCACGACACGCGTCTCCAGGCTGCCCGTCGGCGTGAGCGTGAGGAGCAGGAGTGGTTGGAGAGGGAGCGGCATGAGCTGCGGGTGTTGGACCTTCTGGAGCAGCAGCGGCAACAGCAGCAACAGCAGCAGCAGCAGCAGCAGCCGCAACCGCCGCCGCAGCCGCAGCAGCGGCAGCCGCAGCCGCCTCCGCAGCTTCCTCTGGAGCGGCAGTTGTTCCCACCTGTGAGTGGCCTGCGGGCCCTTGGCCTTTCCTCCTCTCCTCCTGTCCGCTCCCAGTCTCCTCCTGTGTTTGTTCCTCCGTTGCCTCCTCTTGACGACCGTCCGGCGGTCTGGTCTTCTCCTCCTCCTCAGTTTCCTCCTCCTTCTGTCCGCCGCGACTTGATCACGCGTTGTCCTCCGCGTGCTCGTCACTCGTCCCCTGTTACTGACCTCCACACTGCCCTCCTTTGTTCGTCTCGTCGTCGTTCTCCTTCTCCTGTGTCCGTTCTCCCGTCTCCTCTTCCGTCCTCTCTCACAGCCCTCCCCACTCCTATCTCAGACTACTACCGCGCTGTTCATCCTGTTGCCGCACGTGTCCTCGCCACGCTTGTCACCAACTCTCGTTTCCCTCCGTCGTCTGCCTCGGCTCTCACTGCCGTTGTCGCTGAGTTTACTGCCGCCAGCCGCCTTGACTACGCCACCCGTGTGGTGCCAGCTCCTCCCTCCTGTCCTCTGTCCGTCGGGGGTGGGTTTGCCCTTGGCTGTGACGTCCTAGAGGACAGAGAGTCTGAGCTGGAGTACTGGGCAGCCACTTCTCCCTCTGTGTGTGCCATGCTGCTCTCCCCTGAGGGAGACCCCGACGCCCTTGACATACCGACTTCTCGTACTTACCGCGACGCAGTGTCAGGGGCGTGGGCCTCTCAGTGGAAAGCGGCTATGGACTCAGAGTTGGCGTCTTGGAGATCCATAGGCACCTACGTCGACGTAGTTCCCCCTCCTAGGGCGAACGTAGTCGATGGCATGTGGCTCTTCAAGGTGAAGCGGCCGCCTAGAGCACCGCCGGTGTTCAAGGCGCGCTACGTGGCTAGGGGCTTCAGTCAGCGTGAGGGAGTTGACTTCTTCCAGACCTTCGCCCTGACCTCGAAGATGACTACTCTTTGGGTGCTACTCCACATAGCAGCGCAGCGAGGCTACGAGCTGCACTCCCTCGACTTCTCCACTGCGTTCCTCCAGGGCCAACTGCACGAGGAGATCTGGCTGTGCCGTCCTCCTGGCTTCACTGACACCTTCCCACCTGGGACCTAGTGGAGCCTGAGGCGACCAGTCTACGGTCTCCACCAGTCACCCCGTGAGTGGCACGACACTCTTCGATCCACGCTTTGTGACCTTGGGTTCAGCCCGTCCTTCGCCGACCCGTCGCTGTTTGTTCGAGCGGGTTCTACTCCTTTCTTTATACTTGTCTACGTCGACGACTTGGTGTTTGCTACCGCAGACAGGGCAGCCCTGGCTCAGGTGAAGTCCGAACTGCAGAAGAGACACAAGTGCACTGACCTGGGTGAGCTGCAGCGCTACCTTGGCCTGCAGATCACCGGGGACAGAGCCGCTCGCACCATCACACTGACGCAGTCACACATGGTGCAGCAGGTCCTTCGGCGGTTCGACTTCCAGTTCTCCACCACACAGCCCACTACTCTTGCTGTTGACCACCGACTCACTGGCCCCTTTCCTGACGAGCCCTTTGAGCCCAGTGGTCCCTACGCAGAGCTTGTGGGCTGCCTCATGTACCTGATGACTTGTACCCGGCCGGACCTCGCCTTTCCCCTCAGCATCCTCTCTTGCTTTGTTGCGACTGGGAGACACCGTCTTGTCCACTCGATAGTTGCTGTGAGGGTGGCGATGTCAGATTTATATGACTGCTGTTGTAGGCTATAGTGGGGTAGCACATATGGGGTACAGCTTTCTAGGGTTTGTACTTGTACCCAACATTCCCTTAGTCATTCCCTTCCTCGTTTCTTCTCATGGTTTCAGAGCAGGTTCCCTAGTGGGAACGCTTTCTAGGGCCCACCTCGAAATTTTTTTTTCTTACCCGGAGCGCGCTTCGCTCCTGCCCGAGTCGCGCCCCGCGTGCCCTCCCTACCGTCGCGCCGCCCTTAGCGGCCCCTCTCACGGCCCCTTGAGCCGCCCTTACGGCCCCGCGCACCGCCCTTGCGGCCCCTCGCGCCGCCCGTTGGCCCCTCGCGCCGCCAGTCGACCCCGCGCGCCGCCCTAGCGGCCCCTCGCGCCGCCCGTCGGCTCCGCGCGCCGCCCTTGCGGCCCCTCGCGCCGCCTGTCGGCCCCCCGTGCGCCGCCCTTACGGCCCCTTGCGCCGCCTGTCGGCCCCTCGCGCTGGCCTCCCGACCCCCACCTTACGGCCCCTCGCGCGGCCCCTTACGGCCCCTCGCGCCGCTCTTGCGCCCCCCCCCCTACGGCCCCTTTGCGGCCCGCCATTGCCGCCTCCAGCAGCGGCCGCCGCCGTCCCTGCAGCAGCAGCCGCCACTGCCGTCCCTACAGCAGCGGCCGCCGCTGTCTTTGCAGCAGCGGCCGCCGCCGCTGTCCCTGCAGCAGCGGCCGCCGCCGCCGTCCCTGAAGCAGCGGCCGCCGTCGCCGCCTCCTGCAGCGGTGACCACCGCCGTCCCTGTAGCAGCAGCCACCACTGTACCTACAGCAGCCGTGCCGCCCGAGCCGCCGAGCCGCCCGAGCTGCCGAGCCGCCCGAGCTGCAGAGCCGCCGTTCCCGCCGAGCCACCCGAGCCGCTGAGCCGCCCGAGCTGCCCGAGCCGCCGAGTCGCCGAGCCGCCGAGCTGCTGTTGCTGCCGAGCCGCCCAGCCACCGAGCCGTCCGAGCCGCCCTGTCCGCTACACTTGGTCCTTCTCGCGTGCCCGGTAAGAGCAACACCTCTACTACTGTGCTGCCCTTAGCCTGCTGCTCCCGCTTCTAGTCTACTGCTGTCATGGCTACCCCTAATGTCGTCGCTTTTGACGCTGAGGGTCGGGCCATTGACTTTGACCTCTGGGTAGATGACCTGCAGCTTTACCTACAGTACGATAGGGCAGACAGTCTCTCCCTCTTTGACCTCACTTCTGGTGCCTCTCCTGCCCCTGGTGCTGATGCTGACACCACTGTTCGCTCACAGTGGGCCACACGCAATGCTGCTGCACGTCTTGCTGTGCGCCGCCACTTGCCCACCGCTGAGCGTGCACACTTTAGTCAGTACAAGAGTGCTAGGACCTTGTACGACGCTGTAATTACACGCTACTCTTCCCCTGCCACTGCTGCACTTAGCCGCCTCATCCTGCCGTTCCTCTTCCCTGACCTCGCCGCTTTTCCCACAGTCGCTGAACTCATTATGCACCTTCGCACTAGTGACATTCGTTACCGCGCTGCCCTTCCCGCTGAGTTCTGCGCCAAGAACCCCCCCCCCTATGTACATCACCCTCTACTACATAGTCACCCGGCTCCCTGACACCCTTCGCCCGGCCAGGGACCACTTTCTCTCTGTTTGCCCCACCACTCTCACCGTTGACCTCCTCGAGGAGCGCCTCCTAGCAGCAGAGAAGAGCATAGTCGCTGTAGGAGCCTCTTGTGGTGACCCTCGTGCCCCTGTCTTTGAGGGGTGCTCCCCCTCTCCTCTCTTGCCCTCTGTTGCCTCTGCTGCTGCGGCCGACCTCGTTGGTCTTGAGTCGGTCGGTGCGGCGTATGCCCCTAGCGGGAGACGCAGCACTGGCAAGGGCAAAGGGGGCAGGGGCGCTGGAGGAGCTAGCGGGGGCGGTGGAGGCGGCGGTGGAGGCGGCGGAGGGGGTGGGGGTGGCGGTGGGGATGGTGGCAGGGGTGGGGGCGTCGGTGGCGGCAGTGGAGGCAGAGGCGCCGGCGGCGGTGGCAGTGGGAGCGGAGGTGGCGGAGGTGGCGGCGATGGAGGAGGCGGCGGCGGAGGAGGTGGAGCTGGTCGGGGTGGCGCTGCGCAGAGGGTCGGCTCCGGTGGTGGTCCGCGCCAGCAGCAGCAACAGCAGCAGCAGAGCACTCGTGAGATCCCCCCCCCTTAGCAGCTTCGTGAGTGGTACGCTGCACACCAGCGGGGTGGGGGTACTGGTCTATGCACCTACTGTCAAACATTATATATGTTGTTGTAGTTGTTTAGGCTACAGTGGGTTAGCCTATAGGGGGTACACATTCCTAGTTTTTCATACTTGTACTCATTTCACTGTTAGTTCATTCATTATTGTTCAACATGGTATAGAGCAGGTCCTTCCTAGGACCGATTTTTTTAGGGCCCACCACTACCTACCTACCTACCTGCGCCCTAGGGCGCCTCGGCTTTCACGCCCCTAGAGGCCCCGTCGGCCCCACGCTCTCGCACCTAGAGGCCTCAGTCGGCCCCGCGCTCGCTTTTAGAGGCCCCGAATCGGCCCCGCGCTTACCCCTAAAGGCCCGCGTCGGCCCCGCGCTTGTCCTTAACGGCCCCGAATCGGCCCCGCGCTTACCCCTAGAGGCACGCGTTGGCCCCGCGCTCGTCCCTTCCGTTCCCGATCGGCCCCGCGCTCGTCCCTCACGGCCCCGATAGGCCCCGCGCTCGCCCTTAGAGGCCCACGTCGGCCCCGCGCTCGTCCCTTACGGCCCCGATCGGCCCCGCGCTCGTCCCTCACGGCCTCGATAGGCCCCGCGCTCGCCCTTAGCACCCACGGCGGCCCCGCGCTCGTCCCTCACGGCCCCACCCGCTCCCCGCGCTCTCCCTTAGCGGCCCCGAGCCGGCCAGAGCCGCCCAGCCCTAACGGAACCGAGCCGCCCGACCCGAGCCGCCAGCCCTAACCGGCCCGAGCCGCCCGAACCGAGCCGCCCGAACCGAGCCGCCCGAACCGAGCCGCGCCGCCCGACCCGAGCCGCGCCGCCCTACCTATACCGAGCCGCGCCGCCCTACCTGTACCGAGCCGCGCCGCCCTACCTACCCTACTGCTCCTACTGCTTTTCCTACTGCTGCTACCATGGATAGCCCTCTTGTGCTAGCCTTCAATGCTGAGGGCCGCCCAGTGAAGTTCGACACCTGGCTTGATGACCTACACCTCTTCCTACAGCTCACTGCCAAGGAAGACATCTCGCTGTACGATCATGCCTTAGGCCACGCTACTGCTCCTGCTGCTACTGCTGACAGCACTGCCCGCTCACAGTGGCAGACTCGTGACGCCCATACTCGCTTCGCTATTCGCAACTCTCTGCCGATAGATGAGCGCGAGCACTTTGGGCAGCACAAGACTGCACAGGCACTGTACACTGCTGTCGTTGCCCGCTACTCCTCACCGGCCTCTGCCGCTCTAGGCCGTCTCTCTCTTCCCAACCTGTTCCCCGACTTAGCTTCCTTCCCCACTGTCGCTGATCTCATTACCCACCTCCGCACTAGTGAGGCTCGCTTCCGCGCCGCTATGCCTGATGAGTTCCTTGCCAAGAACCCACCCCCGCTCTGGCTCACTCTCTATCACCTAGTCACGCGCCTCCCTGACACTCTGCGCTCAGTCAGGGACCACTTCCTAGCTCGCTGCCCCACCGAGCTCACCATTGCCCTCCTCAAGAAGGAAATGCTTGCAGCTGAGGCTAGCATAGTCGCTGTAGGTGCCTCTCGCGGTGACCCCCGTACCCCGTTCTTTGAGGGGTGTTCTCCCTCCCCCCTTCTTCCCTCTGTCGCCTCTGCTGCTGCTGTCGACCTCCTTGGTGCTGAGAAGGTCGGGACTGCGTCTGCTTCGAGTGGGCGCCGCAGCGGCAAGGGCAAGGGGGGCAAGGGCGGTGGTGGTGACAGCGGGGGTGGCGGTGGTGGGGGAGGTGGTGGTGGCGGGGGGGGGTGGCGCGGGTGGGGGAGGTGGCAGCAGTGGGGGGGGTGGCGGCAGCGGCGGGGGAGGTGGCCGGGGCGGAGGAGGTGGTGGGGGTGGCAGTGGACGAGGCAGCGGCCGGGGTTGGGGTGGTCGAGGAGGTGGTAGCGGCGGTGGTGGTCGTGGAGGCACTGGCGGTGGCCAGGGCCAGCAGCACACTCCGTCGCCCCAGGAGGTCCGTGAGTGGTACTCTCAGCACGGGGGGGGGGGGGGGGGTGGCCTTAGCTGCACGTACGTCATTCGCACTGGTGACCGCACTGGCCAGCCGTGTGGGGGACCGCACGCCACACAGCGTTGCTTCGCTCGTCTGAACGACGCTTGGCGTGTTCAGTTCCCTCAGGCCACTGAGCTACCCCGCTGGGTTGATCTCCTGAAGAAGGGGATTGATATTTATGCTCTAGACTTTGATGCTATTCTCACTGCCATGTATGTGATGTCTACTAGTGGAGAGAGTGCTGAGTACCTGAGTGTCCCGCTCGACCCGGGCATTAGGACTAGTGCGTCTGCCGCTCCAGGTACTCGCGTGTCGGCTACCCCAGGTGCTGGTGAGGCTGCTACTCTAGGTGCGTGTACGTCTGCCCCCCCTAGTACTGTGTCGACTGCAGCACTGCACACCTTCACACTGGATTCAGGTGCCTCTCGCTGTTTCTTTCGTGACCGCACTGCCCTTGAGCCCCTTGCTCGGCCAGCTGCTGTCTCCCTCGCTGACCCCTCTGGAGGTCCGGTCCTTGCGACCTCCTCCACTGTCCTTCCCTGCCCTGCGGTCCCGTCGGGCACACTGTCAGGTCTCCACCTCCCCTCGTTCTCTACGAACTTGGTGGCAGGATCTGCACTCCAGGACGGGGGTGTTCACCAGTTCACCCCTGCCTAGGAGCGTGTCACACACTGCACATGTGCCCGTACAGGCCGCCACTTGGCTACCTTCACCCGGCAGCCGGGGTCGGACCTGTACACACTGACTACTGCCCCCCCTCAGGTCGCTGCGTCTGCGTCTGCGTCCGCGTCAGGTCAGCTGTCCGCCCCCTGCTCGTGTCGCTCTCTAGTGCACGAGACTGTCCTCTGGCACCACCGACTGGGCCACCCGTCTGTGCAACGCCTTCGTGCCATGCACTCCCGGTACCTTGTCTCTGGTCTTCCCAGGGTCCTCCCTCCCCTCCCACCCTCGCCTGCTCCTCCCTGTCTTCCCTGTGTCGAGGGGCGGCAGCGCACCGCTCCTCACTCCTCCTCGTTTCCCCCGACGATTGCTCCTTTGCAGACGCTCCACATGGACGTGTGGGGCCCAGCCCGCGTCCGTGGTCAGGGTCAGGAGAGGTACTTCCTGATCGTTGCTGACGACTACTCGCGCTACACCACGGTCTTCCCCTTGCGCACCAAGGGTGAGGTCCCTGATGTTTTGATCCCTTGGATCCGCAGAGCTCGTCTCCAGCTCAGCGAGCGATTCCGCTCGGACTTTCCTGTCCTGCGCTTGCACTCTGACAGAGGTGGTGAGTTCTCCTCCGACCTCTTGGCAGCCTACTGTGCAGAGCACGGCATTGAGCAGTCGTTCACGCTTCCGGCCTCTCCACAGCAGAATGGAGTTGCGGAGCGCCGCATTGGCCTGGTCATGGAGGTCGCCCGTACCTCCTTGATCCATGCGGCTGCCCCCCACTTTCTGTGGCCGTTTGCGGTCCGGTACGCTGCGCATCACCTCAACCTCTGGCCCCGTGTCTCCTTGCCGGAGTTCTCGCCCACACTGCTGTGGACGGGGGAGGTTGGCGATGCGTCGCGTTTCCGGGTCTGGGGATCTCGAGCTTTTGTCCGCGATTCGTCTGCGGACAAGCTCTCCTTTCGTGCTGTTCCCTGCGTCTTCCTCGGCTTTGTTTTGGACGCGCCTGGTTGGCAGTTTTACCACGCCACCTCGCGCCAGGTCTTGCCCTCTCAGGACGTCACTTTTGACGAGTCTGTCCCCTACTACCGCCTCTTCCCCTACCGCACTGCCCCGCTCCCACCCCCGCCTCTCTTCCTCGCGCCAGGTGCTGCTGTCGTAGACCCCCTCCCCCCTCAGGGTGCCGCTCCCTCAGGTGTGTCTCAGGTAGACCCGGTCGAGCCTGTTGAGGTTGCTGTCGACTCTCGTCCTGCTGGGGGTGCTGAGCCTGGGGGTGCGCAGACTGGGGGTGCTGAGCCTGGGGGTGCTGACTCTGGGGATGCTGAGCCTGGGGGTGCTGACTCTGGGGGTGCTGAGCCTGGAGGTGCGGACTCTGGGGGTGCTGAGCCTGGGGGTGCTGACTCTGGGGGTGCTGAGCCTGGGGGTGCGGACTCTTGGGGTGCTGAGCCTGGGGGTGCGGTGACTGGGGGTGCTGAGCCTGGGGGTGCTGGGTCTGGAGGTTCTGACTCTGGCGGTGCTGGGCCTAAGGGTGCTACACCTGGACGAGACCTCTCCTCGTAGCAGTTGCGTGAGTGGTACTTACAATACTGCAGCCTCCGGAGTGTTACCTCTAGGACCAGGCGTACTACAGGGACTGGTGCTGGTACTTCTCCTCCTAGTCGGGAGCTCCCCTCTCGTGAGCGGATCCGTGAGTGGTACGAGCGCCGTTGCACACTTCGAAGTGGAGCGCCTCGTCTCACGGACCCGGCTGCCCCTGGTGCTACGGACCCGGGCGTTGGAGCTGCTGCTGGTGCTGCGGACCTTGGCGTTGGAGCTGCTGCTGGTGCTGCGGACCCGGGAGTTGGAGGTGCTACTGGTGCTGAGGACCCGGGCGTTGGAGCTGCGGCAGGTGCTGTGGACCCTGGTGTTGGAGCCACTGCTGGTGCTGAGGACTCGGGCGTTGGTGCTGAGGCTAGTACTGGGGACCTGGGCGTTGGAGCTGCTGCTGGTTCTGGTACTGCCGCTGGGGGTACAAGTGCTGTCTCTGCTGTGTCTGCATTTGCCGCGCGCCCTCAGCCGTACTTTGTTCCGCTCCTTCAGCAGGTTCTTGGTCTCTCGCCTCCTCCTGGTCCTCCTCCCTTAGCGTGTTCACAGCCTGTCCCGTCACAGTTACAGTTGCAGCCGACCTCCCCACTACCTGCTCCTTCTCCTTACACTGGTCCTACTGGCGGTCTTACTGAGCGTCGTGAGTCTGCGTCTCGTCCCGCGTCGCCTGTCCGTCCTGCTAGCGCTAGTGCTCGTAGTTCGCGCCAGCGTCCTCCTCCTGCCCCTGGCACGCACCGGATGTCTCTACGTCCGTCTACTGCTCCTCTGCGTGCCCCTTTGCCTTCTCCTCCTGAGTACTCTCTTCCTGCTCTCGCCGACCCTGCGTCGAACTCTCTTCGTGCTGCCAGTCCTACTGTCACGCGTCTCCTTGCTACTGCCGTCACTGACCCTTCTTTCGAGTCTTCTGCTGCGTCTGCCCTAGTTGCTGAGCTCGTCGACTTTGCAGCTCACTGTCGCCTAGACTACGCTGCGAGTCTTGTCGCTGAGTCTGAGTCTGTCTGTCCTCCGTCCGTCGGGGGTGCGTGTGCTCTTGGCACGGACGTCCTTGAGGACAGGCACGAGGAGTTCCACTGCTTGGCCGCTACTTCACCTCATCTCGTGTCCGTACTGCTTACCCCTGAGGGAGACCCGGATGCACTTGACATCCCGACTCCGCGCTCTTACGCGGAGGCGATAGAGGGTCCCTACTCCTCTCAGTGGCAGGCAGCTATGGATGCAGAGATGGCTTCCTGGAAGTCCACAGGCACCTACGTTGACGCTGTCCCCCCTCCTGGGGCGAACATCGTCAGTGGCATGTGGATCTTCAGGGTGAAGCGGCTGCCGAGTTCTCCGCCTGTCTTCAAGGCGCGTTACGTGGCTCGTGGCTTCAGTCAGCGGCAGGGAGTTGACTACTTTCAGACCTTCTCCCCCACCCCGAAGATGACCACTCTTCGGGTACTGCTGCACGTTGCTGCTCACCAGGACTACGAGCTGCACTCTCTCGACTTCAGCACAGCTTTCTTGCAAGGCAGCCTGCACAAGGAGATCTGGCTGCGCCGCCCACCTGGCTTCACTGGGTCTTTCCCTCCTGGTACCCAGTGGAGTCTCCAGCGTCCAGTCTACGGTCTCCGCCAGGCGCCACGTGAGTGGCACGACACACTGAGGACTACGCTTGCGGCTCTTGGCTTCGCTCCTTCTACTGCCAACCCGTCGCTGTTTCTGCGCACCGACACCTCTCTGCCGCCGTTCTACATCCTCGTGTACGTCGACGACTTGGTCTTTGCCACAGCTGACACTACTGGACTCGCCTACGTGAATTCCGAGCTGCAGAAGAGACACACGTGCACTGACCTGGGTGAACTGCGCAGCTACCTTGGTTTGCAGATCACCCGGGACAGAGCACGCCACACCATTACCCTGACTCAGTCACACATGGTGCAGCAGGTCCTTCAGCGCTTCGGCTTCACGTACTCCTCGCCTCAGGCCACTCCTCTGTCTACTCGCCACTCGCTCTCAGCTCTGCCTTCGGATGAGTCCGTAGAGTCGAGTGGCCCGTACCCAGAGCTTGTTGGCTGTCTCAGGTACCTGATGACCTGCACACGACCTGACCTTGCATACCCTCTTAGCATTCTTGCGCGCTATGTTGCTCCTCGGAGACACCGACCAGAGCACATGGCTACAGCGAAGAGGGTGTTGCGCTACTTGTGCAGTACGTCGGGCATGGGGCTAGTGCTTGGAGGGCGGAGTCCAGTGGTCCTCACTGGACACGCAGACGCTTCTTGGGCTGAGGACCAGGCTACGCAGCGGTCGTCACAGGGTTACACCTTCAGCCTTGGTTCCGGCTCTGTTTCATGGCGGGCTACCCGCTCGTCTTCTGTTCTCGGCTCCAGTTGTGAGGCTGAGATCTACGCAGGGGCCATGGCTGCTCAGGAGCTTCGCTGGCTCACCTACCTGCTGACCGACCTTGGAGAGCCGCCTCGTTCTCCTCCAGTCCTGTACGTAGACAACAAGGCCATGCTGGCCTTGTGTCGGGAGTAGAGACTGGAGCACAGAACAAAGCACATTGCTCTCCGCTACTTCCTTGCTCGTGAGCTACAGCAGCGTGGTCAGTTGCGGCTTGCGTACGTGGCCTCTGAGGCCAACACTGCTGATGTCTTCACCAAGGCACTTCCGCCTTGTGATCATCAGCGCTGCTGTACCCAGCTGGGTCTTGTGTCTGTCTTGCCTCAGTTTTTCTCCTCTTGACTCTCTTTGTACTGTTACATATATATATATATCACTGCTCTTGCTTGTTTAGTCTTATATATATATGTACTCCTGCATGTGAACTAGCCTTTTGGCCTTGCACTTGTGCTCGGATTGTGTGGTGACGTTGTGATCCACCCTGAGCTTGCTTTGCTTTACTTGACTGGTCTTGTGACCCCTAGTTCTCCCCCACTTCGCCTATGGGGGTGTGTCAAACATTATATATGTTGTTGTAGTTGTTTAGGCTACAGTGGGTTAGCCTATAGAGGGTACACATTCCTAGTTTTTCATACTTGTACTCATTTCACTATTACTTCATTCATTCTTGTTCAACACCTACGTCCTACGCACCGGCGACCGCGCGGGTGAGCCGTGCGGGGGTGCGCACTCCACCCAGCGCTGCTTTGGCCGCCTTACGGACGCTTGGCGTCACCAGTTCCCTGAGGCCGCTGGAGCGAGCTGTCTAGGGCGGGACTAGCTATCTTTGACCTTGAATTTGATGCTATTCTTGCTAACATGTATGCTCTAACTATTAGTGATGAGGGGGGATGTTACCAGGGTTTTTCCCACCCGGCCCGGGCATTGGGACTGCTGCTCTAGGTACTGGTGAGGCTGCTGCTCTAGGTGCTAGCGAGGCTGCTGCTCTAGGTGCCAGTGTGTCTGCTTCCTCAGGTGCTGGTGAGTCTGCTCTCTCAGGTACTGCGTTGGCTCCGGCCTCCCACACCTTCACCCTTGACTCGAGGGCTTCTCGCTCCTTCTTTCGAGACCGCACCACACTCACGCCGCTTGGTCGGCCAGTTGCAGTCTCTCTGGCAGACCCCTCTGGGGGTCGTGTCCTTGCTCACTTCTCCACTGTCCTCCCGTGTCCGACGGTCCCCTCTGGCACCTTGTCTGGTCTTTACCTCCCCTCGTTCTCTACGAACTTGGTGAGTGGTGCTGACCTACAAGATGCGGGGGTTCACCAGTTCACTCCTGCAAGCCAGCGAGTGACCCACTGCACGGACGCTCGGACGGGCCGACACTTGGCCACGTTTACACGTCGGCCGGGGTCGAGCCTGTACACACTGACCACTGAGTCTCCTCTGGTCACTGCGTCTGGTCCGGCAGCTGCGTCGGGTCAGGTGTTTGCTGCAGCGTCCAGGTCTGGTCCTGAGTCTGCCCCCTGCTCGTGTCGCCTCCTGTCTCACAAGACTCTCCTCTGGCACCACCGCCTTGGTCACCCCTCCCTGCTTCGTCTCCGAGGCATGGCCTCCCGCGTCCTTGTCTCTGGTCTTCCCCGATCCCTCCCTCCCCTTCCTCTAGGGCCTGCCCCTACCTGCTTCCCCTGTGTCGAGGGGCGGCAGCGTGCTGCCCCTCACTCCTCCCAGTTTCCTTCGACAGAGGCCCCGCTGCAGACGCTTCACATGGACGTGTGGGGCCCAGCCCGCGTCCGTGAACGGTCACGAGCGCTACTTC